CCTGCCTCCATGTCAGACCTGCTGTAATACTGCACAACACAATCTTTCATTCAGCCTCCATCTATTCCTTTGCCATTACGATATCCTGCAATCTGCTTCCCCCCAACCCCCATTCATGCTCTACTCAGGCCACCTCTGTGCTCTGCACCAGTCCACACTTCCATATCCCTGTCCCCAAACCACCAACAGACCTGATTACAGGAAGCCTATTTAGATATGATGTATTGTCAGCCGCGGGGCGGCTTTGAATCATTCTGTCACATTCGACTGTTTTTGTTGTTCTTTCCTTCGCCGATAGCTGCGGTCTGTTCTCCATCATGCTCCAGGATTGTTTTAACTTTTTTTTCTCATCTTGCTCTTTAAGTAAACAGCCAGTCAATCACAGTGCGGCGTGAGCGCCTGTGCATCCAGGCGGTCATAGCGGCTGAGAGAGTCAAGTCTAATGCCACCTCTCAATCAGAGAGTCGTTGAGCCCTGCTGTGTCTCCCCGCATGAAGTCTGCTGTTATTAGCCAATGTCAACAGTTTTTTAATGAAGTTACTGCTTATTGTAAAAGTAAACATGACATTTTACAGAGTTGGTTGGGATGCAGCCTGGCTTTTTACAAATAACTTCTTTCTTTACAATGCATGTTTCAGGCTTCATGTCAAAACCAGATACTGGACCAGCATTTGCTTGTTCTCATAAAGCTGTAGATCCCACCTGCCGTTAGATGTTGTATCGAGAGGCATTGATGTACAGTCAGAGCTGCCCCTGTTTCCCGGTGGAGGAGGGCCAGGCTGGGCACAGCTTGTGTTCTGGGCTCCAGGGGTCTGGTTCTGTCTGGACCCTTGGCCATCTGAATCCACTCCACTGCACTCAGAGGCTGGCCACAGTCTGTCCTCTCAGCTGTGGAGCTGATGGGAGCTGGGTGAACTCCCTCAGGAAACGTCCAGGCTGCGGCCTACAGGGCAAACAGAAGGGAGGCCGGAAGAGAGAGTGACACTTTTTTTTTAACCCCCGTCTTCAGCGGGACAATTAACTGAGGGCCAGAGGACTCCAGTCCTAAATTGCTGTGAATAACTGTTAGAGGGACTCTTGGGTATCTTATGTCACATACCCAAATCATTTTATTACAGTGTTTGAGTATTAAAGTCAGATCTTGGCCTCTTCATCGACTTCCTTCTAATGTGGAATACATTATATTCAATTTGTGCTTCTTTGTCTTTGCTCATTTTAAGTGCTGATAGTTGTTTAAAGGCGGGCGTACACGGTGCGATTTTTGCTGTCGTACGAGCTCGCAGGTGATTTTTTTATCTCAGGAGAAAATCACAGATGCTCGCATGGTCGCAGCTCGTACCGTGTGAGAAGAATTACGGGCCGATCCGAGACGTTACGAGCACCTCCCGTCCTCCCGATAATTTTCAAACATGTCAAAAAAAATCGGATGCTGTCGGTTTAAATTCGTGGCGTATGTGCGGTTGAACGAGACGATTTGGCGATCCATCTGAAGTTGACCAATCAGAAGATGACAAAAACCATATAGTCTATAATAATTTTAGTTTAATTATACAGTTCTATTTTTATTTGTTATTCCGAATGTGCCACGTAATGCTTATGTCAGAGGTTGTAAAATCGTAGTAAATTCGTGTCGTGTGTGACTGCCTCCGTACGATTTTCGGATAAACTTAATCGTGACATGTGCCAGAGCTCACGACGTTCCGACCTTCAGAATCGCACCGTGTACGCCCGCCTTAAGTGTGCTAAAGTTAAAGGGTAGACAACATGGATCACCATTTTGCTTATTTGAATCACGCAATTATCACCTAAGTGAGAAAAAATATGAGACATTTTGACATATTTGACACTTTTTTTGTATCATAGTCTCTAAATTATCCGATAAATGTTTAGCTGATTTAAAAAAAAAAAATAAATAAAATAAAATATATATATATATACACATGTATATGCATAATCCCCCCAAAGTGGCCAAGTGTAGGCCTTAAACAACAAGAAAAACTAAGCGCCCATATAGCAACAATAATTTAACTTTATATAACCTGTAAAAGTTGATGAAAGCATATAATGAGATGCACTTG